CCAAGTGTTACCTGGGCTCTCAGCACCGTCCCTTACAGTCCTTCTGATCCTATCCATTATCTCCCGTAACAGGCCACTGTCCAGCACCTTGCTCCATCCACTGGCCCTGCGCCTGGCTTCCTAGCCGGTGAGCCTCAAGCTGAAGAGGTCAGGAATGTTCTCTTACTCTCTGACCAGGGACCTAACTCTAGTATTTTGCTAGTCATTGCGGTTACTCCTTCATTGATCCCTGGCTTCTTCCCTTGCTCAGCCTCCCCTAGATTCACAGGGACCCTTATGATTTCTCGTGGCATGGGTTTGGGAGTGTGTATGTGTGTCTGAGTGTGTGTGTGTGTGCCTGAGATAGGGTCATATGTATCTCAGGTTGGCCTCAGACTCATTAAGTAGCCAAAGATGGTCTCCAACTGGTTCTCCAGTTTCTGCCTCCAGGGTGCTGAATTCTGCGGTGTGCACCCCAGGCCTGGCTCACAGAGCACTTTATAGAACTGTCTGTTAATGACCCTCCAAGTTCAAGTGCCCTGCTCGAGGCTATTGGCTACTCTCAGAACACCATGGTGTTGAAGGCCTCACTAACTTCCGGTATCACTTGCCTGTCTCGTTGTCCTGGCAACCCTAGCCCCACTTCCTGCATCCAGTAGTACCTGACCCATACATTTAGTTCAGCATATCTGAGTAAAAACCTATTCACTGTTTGCCTAAAATGAGAATTTAATTTCAGTTTACCTAGCATGAGGCAAACAACTGAGGCATTTGAAGAATATGTGGGACGTACTTGTACTAAAATATGAGGCAAGGCCGGGTGGTGGTGGCACACGCCTTTAATCCCAGCACCCAGGAGGCAGAGACAGGCAAATCTCTGAGTTCCAGGCCAGTCTGGCCTAAAAGAGAGAGTTCCAGGACAGCCAGCCAGAGCTGCACAGAGAAACCTTGTTTAAAAAAAAACAAAAACAAAAACAAAAACAAAAACAAAAAAAAAAAACAGAAAAGAAAAAATAAGTGTGAGGCAAGAGTTTTGCCCTGTGTTCTATTTTTTTTTTTTTTTTACACTTAATCTGATAACATAAATCCTGAACCTCTAAGCAGTACCTTAGAGGTTCTGATACCTCAGGATAGGGTAACTCCAACCCAGAGATACTTCAGGGTAGAGTAACTCTGACCCAGGCCCCAAATCTGCCCTAGAAGCCTGTCTGGGAGCCTTTATCAAAACCCTCATCAGTCCATGGAAGGCCTGGAGTCCATAGGCCCTGAGCAGGTGACTCTTCACTGTAGCTTCCGTTCCCTGATCTTGGCTAGCCTGGTGATTCAGCAGGGAAAGCCGCTTGTCTCCAGGACTGGTGACCTGAGTCAGCCTCCTGGGTCCCACACGGTGGAAGGAGAGAACCAGTTCTTAGGGGTTGTCCTGTGACCTCTTGTGAGGAGGCACATAAGTACCCACGCCCCATAAACAAAGTCAATTCTCTGTCCTCTCTGGGCCATGGCTCACTCCTACACCAAAAAGGGGCAGGGCCAGGGATTCTCTGCCAATGTCTGAAGGGAATCAGAATGAAAGGGAAATTCTGGTCTTAGGTCATAGCAGGGCCTTGAGGGTTTGGGTCAGGAGTCTTTTCTTCTCCTAAGCCCCTTCAGCGACAGTCATTCCAGGCAAGGATCACAGAGGACACTGACACCTGTCCCCCGTGTCAGTTCCCGGGATTGGGATAGTCAGTCACACGGGGTTCAAAGCAAAGGATTGTATTACCATGGGACGATCTGGCCAGTGCCAGATGCCATGGCCAGGGTAGAAAGCAGACACCGCACAGCTGCTGATTTTACCTGTCACCAGATAAAAGGAGGCAGAGGGGGACCTGCCCAGTGAAGGTAGCATTCTGCCTGGAAGGAGAGCTGGCAAGAACAACTGACCGGATGTAGCAGCCAGTTTGCAAAACTTGCACTCAAGAGGCTGAGCTTGCAGGAGTGCTGAACTGAAGTTCAAGGCCAGCTTGGGCTGCAGTGAGTTCCAGGCTAGCTGGGGCTGTCTAGTGAGACCATGTCTAAAAATTCAAAAAGAAATGAAAGGGGAGCTGGAGAGATGGCTCAGAGGTTAAGAGCAGTGGCTGCTCTTCCAGCGGTCCTGAGTTCGATTCCCAGCAACCACATGGTGGCTCACAACCATCTATAGTGAGATCTGGTGCCTTATTCTGGAATGCAGGCATGCATGCAGGCAGAACATTGCATATATAATAAATAAATCTTAAAAAAAAAGAAATGAAGGAAAAACAACAGCTTTATTACTAGCTGCTCCCAAATGTACCTACTTCCTAGAGCTGTGGTTCTCAACCTCACTAATGCTGCGACCCTGACCCTTTAATACAGTTCCTAAGGTTGTGCTGACCCCCCCAACCATAAAATTATTTTCCTTGCTACTTCATGACTATAACTCTGCTACGGTTATGAATCGTAATGTAAATAATCTGTGTCTTCCGATGGTCTTTGGGGGGGTCGTGACCCACGGGTTGAGAACTGCTTCCCTGGAGCTAGCATTTACATGGTTGGAAGCTCCAGGAACTGAACTCCAGTCGTCTGGAAGAGCAGCAAGTGCTCATCTCTCCAACCTGTGACTCCTCTCTCTACAGTCCAGTGGTCACGGCAACTTCCCTGACCACATGACTCTTCCCTAAGCTGACAAGATCTGTCCAGATTTTGGCATCAGCTTCCACTCTTCTCCACTTTGATATCAGCTCTGTCTCCCCAGGCCATGAGTCAGCACGGCCTGGAGGTCACATAGCTTAGTCAGGAGCCAGGCTAGTGTGAGGCCTGTTGTGATATCCAGTTGCCTTGCTGTGGAAGCGTCTGTAGACATACCAGGAGCGCAATCTCCTCTTTCGCCTTTACATTTGAAGTATAGCCAGTGGGCTGAAGTATGACTGTAGACGGGATCTGGAATAGCAGAGAGAGGCCTCAATAAGGACAGTTGACTGTGACCTGTGACCCACGCTACGTTCACGAAGAGAAGCAACCATGACGAGATTCCACCAGATAGAGAAGAGATGGGCAGTCAATAATGATCCTTAGGAAGGCAAGGAAGATGGCTCTGAGAGTAACCAGAACCACGACTGCTGTGCAAGCAGGAAGGCCGCAGTCTAGCTCTCCAGTACCCATTGCCTAGGTTACCTACTTTTAAGCACAAGAAGAGCCCCCACACCCACCCGCAACACTTTTGAGACAAGATCTTACTCTGTAGAACAGACTGGCCTGTGTTTGTGATCCTCCTGTCTCAGCCTCCGGAGTGCTGGGACTATGAGCAGGACAATGCTTAACTGATGCCAGATCCACCCTTATAGCTCAGGTGACCCCACCCCCAATCATAGTTTCTATTTTTTTTTTTTTTTACTTATTTATTTCTTTGAGACAGGGTCTCATGTAGCATAAGCTGACCTCAACTTAATAAGTAGCCAAGGATAACCTCGAACCCCTTAACCTCCTGCCTCCACTATGCAAGGTCCGGAATTGCAGATGTCAGCCACTGCTCCTTCATTTATTTATATATTTTATTATTTTACCTCTTGTAAATTATTTCTTTTTGAGACTGGGTCTCTGCAGTGGTTCAGATGAGAAATGGCCCTCATAGGTTCAGGTATTTGAACATACAGTCCCAGATTTGTGGTGGTCTGGGGGGGAGGTTTAGGAGGCGTGGCCTTGACGGAGGTAGAGCTGTCCCTGGGGGTGGGCTTTGAGAGCTTGTAGCCTGGCCTTGATTCTGGTTCTCTCTGAAGTTCGCAGTTAAGGTTCAGACCTCATCTCTCAGCATCCTACGCCCTCTGGCCATACTTGCCTGCTGCTGTGCCCATGCCTTCCCGCCATAACGGGCACTCACACCTCTGGAACTGTAAGCCAATATACACGCTGTCTCCCCAAAGTTGTCTTCCGCCACGGTGTTTTATCACAGCAAACAGAAAAGTAACTAATATAGCCTCACTGTGTAGCCTTAACTCCCACAGATCCACCTGCCTCTTCCGGTATTTAACGCATGGATCACCCTGCCAGGCCACTTCCTCTCTCTGCCTCAGCCCTCTGAGCTCCCATGCTCCTCCGGGTCCCACACCTGTGTCAGCCTCTCTAGCCTTGCTCACCTCCAGCTTTGTCCCTACTTGTCCCCACCTCTAGGCTCTGCAGGCTCCTGGAGCTCTTAAAGCAATCTTCCCTTTTCTATCTGGCCAGTACCACGCTGAAGAATATGGATCCTGTTCACCTCCCCACTAGATCACACATTCAGCAAGCGGTCATGAAGTACCTCTGTGCTAGGCCATGTTCTTGGTTCCAGGCGCACAAGGAACTGATTGCATGCAGAACCCTGACTTGGGGGAAGCTCCACAGTCTACTAGGATGCGTATGTGGATGGAAAGCAGGGTCAATGAACAGAGGCCAGAGGAGGTGGGGGTGGGGGAATATCGTAAGGGCTACAAAGACCACTCTGCATGAGCGGGGTCCCTCGAGGGAGCACAGGGCCAGAGCTGGCCTGCTTGAAGAGGTGACACCTGAATTTTAATCCGGAGCTGGCCTCTGTACACTTGGAGATTTGTTCAGGAAGGAACAACCGGTTCAAAGGCTTGAATTGGGGCAGGGCAGGGCTGCGGCCTGAACTCGGTGGCCAGCGGTGTTGGCTACACGCCCTGGGTGCGATCTGAGCCCCGGCTAGCACAGTCAGCTCCTGCAGGCTCCCAGGACCGAAGGTTCGGGATTTGAGAGCCTATCATGGGGGGAGGGGCGACATCTCGTTCTCCTCACCAGGACAATACAGGCCCAGAGGCGACAAGCTACCGCCCCCGAGGCCACACCGAGGCGCCACAGCAGCTAGTCCGGCTGAGCCCCTTCCCGTGCAGCGCCGTCAGCCACTCAGAGCGCGTTGCCAGCTTCACAGGGCGGAAGTGGGCGGGGACACCAGGAGCCCCGCCTCCCGTCCTCCCACCTCCGCTTTCCTGACTGGCTCCGCAAGGTGGCCCCGCCTCCGAGGTGTTGCGGCTGGGGCGGGTCGTTGGGGGAGCCGCCGTCTGCTAGCGGGGTGTGGAACGGCACGGACACTGTTTTCTCCGCCACCATGGGGGCCCAGCTGAGCACGGTAGGCGGCAGGGGTCGGGGGTCGCCAGGCGCGTACCGTGGGGACGCGATACGATCCGGGGCGCCCAGCGCCCGGTCGCCAGCACCGCGCCCCACCCGGCCCCTTGCGGACCGTGACTCACGCCCTGGCTCGTGGCTGCGCCACTCAGGCGCTGCTTCAGGCCAGAGGGGCCGGAGTGCAGGGTGGACATTGGGGACCCTCTTGGGGTGCGCGCGAGTGTGACAGGGCATGAGTGACCTGTGTCCCCGCGTGAGTGGGCGTGACTTGTGAGAGTGAGAAAGTTGAGAGTGACGGAGCCCAGGGAACTGTGGACCGCGCTGCTACCTGTAATGTGTGCACACGTGTAATTGTGCACGAGAAGGTGTGTGCGTGGAGGGACCGGTAGGGGCTATGTGTGAGAATGAGGGCGGGGGCATGAAGACACAGACACGGGTGTGAGTAGTGGACACGTGAGTCCTTTGGGGGTGTGCAATGGGAGAAGTGTGTAGCATATGTCTCTCGACCAGGGATTAGGCGCATCTTCTTGCCATAAACAAGGCAGTAGCTGGCCATCGCCTTCACTGCTGTCACCCTGAAAGCCCCGCCTGTTCCCATGACAGAACTGTGCTGTCACTGAAAAAGTGTCCCTTAGCCTGAACTAGCAGCTCAGCGAGCTGAGGGTGCCGGAACCTCCTAAGGCCTGTAAGTCTACCCTCTCCCTGTTACTCTGGGTGGACCAAGGGCTCCTCCACAGCCCTGGAGACCACCTCTTCTCCCTGATGCTCTCTTAAAGAGCATCCGTGGGAAGTGTGCCCAGCCCCAACCACACAAACACACCCTCGAGGTGCCCAGCTCTCTGGGTGTGGCAAGATTAGGTGAGTGTCCTCTCTGCAAGATCCAGGGGTCCTGGTGAAGACAGGCAACTGGCTTCTTGGTGTGGCATTTGCTCTTTTTTTTTTTTTTGGTCTTTTGAGGCAGGCTTTCTCTGTGTGGCCTTGGCTGTTCTGGAACTTGCTCTGTAGACCAGGCTGGCCTGGAACTCATAGAGTTCCACCTGCCCCTGCCCTCCGAGTGCTGGGATTTAAAGGTGTGTACCACCATAGCCTGGCTGCATTTGCTTTTGAGAGAGTGACTAATCCAGGATGGTCCATTTAAGGAGCAGCCTGGCCCAAAGCAAACCCCAGAGTGACATCACCCCCCCCCCCACATGACATTCTGACCACTTTCCCTGGAGACTGCCCATGGTCCTCTACCCTTCCCTCCTTTGCAAGCTTTCCTCACCTTCTGGACCGTGTTGGTGGGCGTGTCATAGCACCTCAGCACATGGCTGTCCCATCCGTTCATGTTAAGTCAACAGTACTTCCTTGCAGGCAGCAGAGCTCTGTCTAATTATCAGGAGACCCTGGCCGTGGCCTGATCTGTCCCGGGATTGCCTAGTATTGTCCTTGACTTACGGGACTGACTAGGGGTCCACTTGGTCCCCAGTGCCCACAGTATACATGAGCAAGCCTCCTGTCCTGGGGTCCCATGTGTTGTGTGTGTGTGGCTGCTGGGCATAGATCAGATGTCTTATCTGAGCCGAGCAGGCCCTGTGGGAGGCCTCTTGCATATACTGGGGGCCCTAGCCCATAGGATGGCTCTAGAGTCTGCTGTCCATCTGGAAAGCGTTACTGGTTTGCTTGGCTGGTTGCTCTGGGACTGCCTCTCTGCCTGTTTGTGAGTTCCATCAAGCCCTGACAGACCCATTCCTCTTGTAGAGTATATTATGCCTTCCCACGGCTCCTGGCAACCCTGAGGCTAGTTGGTGGCTTAGAATCCCCAGAGGGGGTGGCTCAGCTATCCACCTGTTCTTCCTCTTGGGCTCCCTTCCCTCATAGTCTGGAGCCTAGCCCAGAGCCCCCCTGCTTCAGGACTTCCTCCATTTCCTCCCACTCCCTCCCACTTAGAGCAAGACCGGGAGGGCTGTGGTCACTTGATCATGGACGGTCAGCTGGAGAGTAGGCGGTAGGCAGGTAAGCGAGTCAATGACTGGCTTGTTTAAGCCCCAGGTCAGGGAGCTGGCACCTGGAGAGAGATAGGGGTGGGGCTCTCTGCCTGCCCTGCCTATCCAGCCTGGGCAGAGCGGATTCCAGGGTTTTAGAGGGGACAATGCCGGCATGAGCAGCCAGCCAGGGTGTCCTGTGGTTGGGGGCAGGCTGTGCATCCCTTAGCTACGTTAAGTGAACTCAGGGCTTCTCCCTGAGACCATGGCACCCAGTTTCCTTTACCCTTCTTTGCTATCATAGCAAGGAGAGGAAGGGGTAGGTTCTTAGGTACAGTGGAGTGTGGCCTACAGGGTTAAGGCCTGGGAAGCAGCTGCTCTCAAGGACTTGAAACTGGTTGGGTCAAAGTTGTGTGTGTGTGTGTGTGTGTGTGTGTGTGTGTGTGTGTGTGTGTGTGGTGTGTGTATGTATGTATGTATGTGTGTGTGCGCGTGCGCGTGCGCCTGTGTGCACGCACACACAGCTGAGAAGGAACTAGGGCTGGGACTTGGCCTCAGCCATCTGCCTCCTGTTTACTTGGCCACCGCTGCAGGGACTAGGGTGGTGCCAGGAAGGGTCAGGGGACAACCTGTTTACCCCATGCCAGTGAGGACAGAATACAGCCATACAACCACACCTCCCGGTGAGTTGAGTCTCTAACTTTTGGAGATCATCCTACTGCTCCTGAGCTTGGTGCAGCTCCCCACCCCCTGTGACTGGGTCCCTCCCCTTCTCTAGTTTGAGCTCCTTGGGCATGGGGTTTAGGCCTGGGCCACACACGTACCTTAGACACAGGAGTGTTTGCTGGGGTTGTTGAATGACTAAATGATGGCCAGGATGGTTCGTCACAGCTGCCTTCCTAGATGGGGATTTTTTATATAGAAAAGGTTCACTTTTCCCCTCACAGTGTTCAGACGTGTCCCTGAGCACAGGCTTGTCACCAAAGCCTCTATCTTCTCACCTGAGTTGGGAGTGACAGGAGCACCTCCCAGATGCAGCCTGAGGATTGAGGTCAGAGGGCAGTGACTATTGGGAGCAGCCAGGAGCCGGTTGTTGGCCCGTGAAGCCTGCACCTTCTGAACATGCTCCAGGCCAGGAGCCCTTTCCCAATGTGGAGCAGTGTTGGCTTTTGCTGGCTCTGGAAACTTCTAGACAACATAAGAAGTCAGAGAGACCTGAGGGGTCAGAGGAGAGAGATGCTGTTGTCCTTTCAGTATTTGCTGAGTGTCTGCTGCACCGGGTGCTGGGAGAGTGACCAGGCAACCTGAAGTTACCTGGAGACAGGAGAGGTGGGCCATTCTGAGCCCACGGCTGGTGGAGGGGCTGTGTGGGGCCCTGGCCTGTGTTCAGGCGCCCGCCCATAGTCCTGACAGCGGGGTCGTCTTTGTAGACACTGCCCTCAACACTGGCTAGCATTGTTAGGTGTAGGGTGAGTGAGGGTTGTGGGCTGGTCCACACATGGCCAGCTCTGTGTTGGGCCTCTCTGAGCCTCCTTTGTTAAATGGGGGTGTAGGGAGAGCTGCGTTAACTTCTATATGTTATGACCCAAGGCAGCTTACGGGAGAGTTTGTTTTGCCTTATGCTTTCAGAGGGCTAGAGTCTATCATGGCAGGAAAGGTATGGGAGCAGGAGCAGGGGACTGAGGGATCACATCTCAGCCACACACAGGAAGCAGAGATAGCTCGTCTCTCCCCACTGAGGTACACCCTCCAGCAAGGCTGTACCCCCTAAAAGGCTCTATGACCCCACTAAACAACACCATATACTGGGGACCAAGTGTTCAAATCCGTGAGCCTATGGGGGATGTTCCCCATTTAGACCACAACAGGAGCTCACTGTAGAGGGTCAGGAATGAATCCAGGTGTGTGCCAGGCCCTGGGAGTGCAGCTGCCAACAGACTTGTTGGGGGGGGGTGTGGGGGTTATAAAGCAGGGTACACGGAGCATGGGTCCAGTTGGGCAGAGTCACTGGTACTCATTCCTAGGACTCCCAACAGTGGTAGTTTCTGGATATGGTTTTGCTCCCTGCCATGGAACCATCTATAGCAGAAAAACCACCAGAGTGGTCCTCACCCTAGAGAGCTTACAGAGAGGCCAAGGCTGTGAAAAGTCACTGAAGGTCTAGTTAGGCATGGCTCCTTGGGGAAGATTTAACATTTGAGTTGGGCTCTGAAGGATTCATAAGAGTCTTCAGGTTAATCTGGGCGTGGTGGCGCATACCTGGGAGGCAGAGGCAGGAGGATCTCTGTGAGTTTGTTTGAGGCTAGCAAAAAAAAAAAAAAAGAAAAGAAAAAAAGAGTCTGCTGGTACCTCTAGAGGCAGGCCATAGGGGGTGGGGCCAAGAAAAGCCAAAACTAGGCAAGTTGTGGAGGAGGGTGCAGGGAGAGGAATCCTGTGGGACACACAGAACAGGTGCATTGAAGTTTGGTGGTGGGAGCCCAGGTGCATGTTGGGGGATGGGGGGAGAGTAGAGCAGCTTGTTGGTTTGGGTAGCCAGGCTTAGAAATATGCTTGGGCCCTCTGCAGGGTCCTGGTATCTGATCAGGGCTGCAGGCTGTGATGGGGACACAGTACGGCCTGTCCCCTGAGGTGGCTAAGGAACAGCAAGGCAGGACTGCAAAGTCCTGAATGCAAACTGCAGTCTCATTCATGTTTGGTTTTGTCCCCTTGGCCAGTCACTTGTTTACCATGAGAAAGCAGGTGACAATCTGGTGGTGGTTTGAATGTGGTCCTGGGACTTCAGTGTGGACTTGGGGCAGAGCAATTCCTTCTGGCCTGTTTCCCATCTGTGGCTGAAATGGAGTGGTCTCAAGGACACAAGGCCTTGTCCTTAGAGCAGTACCAGCTTAGGATTCATGGCTGGTTGTTTGCAAGGCCTTTAGAGGCCGCATTCACTCCCCTGTCCAGAGGCCCAAGTCCTTAGGGAACCCTTTCTGAGTTCTGGGCTGGGCCTCAAACCTGGGTCTCTTTGAGCTTACACACCATGGTGCCAACTTTGTTTTTCATTGAGCCTTGGAACAGTGCTTGTATGATGCTGGGCACAGGGATGCTCTTTAAACAGGGATGGTCCTGATGCTGGGGTTATGGCTTCAGCAACTGGCTCTTTTTAAACTTGTAAGAAACATACCAGGGGCCTGTAGGGCGAGGCCGTGACTGGGAGAGAGACAGTGTGTTCTGGGCCCAACAAAGGGCCCTTGGCTGCTGGAGTTACTTGAACCTGCAGGGCCGGTTTGGAGGTGAGGAGCTTGTGGGGCTAATGGTCCCTCCACTTCTCAGGTTGCACACCCCTCTGGGAATTGGGGGCCCCCAGCTCAGTTCACTGTTCCCTGGCAGGAATACCTCATGGTTAGCCTTGCATTCTTTCTGCAGATGGGCCAAGAGGCTCAGGCAGAGTGTTACTGGAAGGTGGGGAGTCCTGGGCAGGGCTTTGAGAGAGGGGTACAGTGGGGCTGGGCCTTGAGAGTGGGAGTGTCCTTCCTTAAGCACTACAGCAGGACTAACCAAATGGCTGAGTGAGAATGCCTCTCTTGTGATCAAAATACCTGACAGAAATAACCAGAGAGGAAAGAGCTTCCTGCTTGTGAGTTTAGTCTGCCATGACAGTGGAAGTAAGAGCCTGTTGCTGAGGCTGTTCACATCCCTGCTAACCACAAAACGGAGAAAGGGCAGGAGCCAGATCCAGTGACTCACTTGTTTCAGCTAGGCCCAACTTCCCAAAACAGCTGCTTAGGGCCGCTCAGCCCGAGGGAGCAGTGCCCAGCCCAGCACCCAGGGAGAGACTCAGGGTCTTTATTAATGGCGAAGCGACTCAGTTTATCCATCCTCACTGGTGTGTTTCCATGGCTCTGGGTGGAAGTGAGGAAGAGAAAGTATGGTTGCCGTGGCCCCAGGAAACTGCTTGGAGCCCTGTGCTCAGTGTAGGGCTCTTAGGCAGATCCTGAGCCCGCCTGAGAACTGGAACTTGGGCCTGGGATTTGACTCAGTCAGTAGACAACTTGCTCAGCGTGCATGACACGAATGCCAATCATCTCCACACTTGGTAGCAAGGAGGGTCAGAAGTTCAAGGCTTTTCAAAACTTCTCATGGGCACAGAAGACTGAGTGACGTGGCAGGTCCGTGAGTCCGGTTTTGGCAGCTTCTCTTGGTGGACTGCCGAATGGAGTTCACTGGACAAGGCTCGAGAGGAAAGGTCACTGGAGGAAGAGGCCCAGGGATGCTGAAGCGTCACCTGTAAGGAGGGTTGGGGCTTCTTCCTGCCCCTGTGCTGACTTGGGCACTGCTCTATCTTTGCAGTTGAGCCGCGTGGTGCTCTCACCCGTCTGGTTCCTCTACAGCCTCCTCATGAAGCTGTTCCAGCGTTCCTCACCGGCCATCACCCTTGAGAACCCAGACATCAAGTACCCACTGCGGCTCGTGGACAAGGAGGTGAGTGCTTCACCCC